TTGCAAAAAAAAAACCAAAACACAAGTTTCAAAATTAGCTTGGCTTTCTTTCTTACATATTATACATTTTTTCATATATGTAGTTTTTGGAAGTAACAAAATAAGATCTACACAAGGGCCAAAGATAAAATCACAGATTGTAAGAAAAATAAGTTTTACTTCTAAATATATAGCGGTATCCAATATCATAAGAATTATGAATTGAAAAGCAAAAACCATCAAAATAAATGAAATTATGCAATTTTGAAATCAACAAACCAGCTGATTCTCCTCATTTAGGGAAAAATCTGGCTAAGCAGATGGCCCCAATGCTGAGCCCCAAGGCCAACAGACTTGGCTTTATTGGACCATGACCAATAGCCATGACTTTGTCCTTTCCTTGTCATTTACATATAACACTTTACCAGACTGGAATATTCCAAAATAAGGTAACTGTTCAAATTAGTTTGGGGAAGTATCTTAATAAATGACAGGAAAAGCCAACAAACCAGCACTTTTTATTGATTTATCACTCCAGATTAAGTCACCAAACAACCTCAAGAACTTATTATCAATTTTGGAAAACATCTGAATCTCATCTTTACCCCAGTTTTTCCTGATATGCCCTTCTTCAATCAGATGGTCCCTGTGCCCACCAAAATTCCATTATGAAAGAAGGAATGTCATTTCTGTAATCCTACTATTGCAAGAATATGCACTAAGACTCAGAATTAGTCTAGAACAATTTCAGCATTTCAGGATAGTGGGAAATTATTTTGAGATACATTTCATCTATAGAGAAAACTAGAGTGGGCCAGTGTTGTGGCTCAGCAGGTCGGCCTGCTGCTTTGGAGTACCCATTTGAGTCCCTGCTACTCTACTTCCAACCCAGCTGCCTGCTGTGCACCTGGGAGGGCAATGGAGGATGACTTGAGAACTTGGGCCCTGCCACCCACATCAGAGATCTGGACAGAGTTTCTAGCTCCCGGCTTCAGCCTGACCCAGCCCTGGCTTTTGCAGCCATTTGGGGAGTGAGCCTGTGGATGTAGGTTCTCTCTCTTCCTCTCTTGCTCTTTCAAATAAATAAATATTACTTTTTTAAAAAGCTAGAGTACTTAGAAATATTTACTAGTGATTATTTAAATCATGCAGAAGTTGGTTTATAATATTATTTGTGGGGCCCGGCACCGTGGCACAGGTTAATCTTCCACTTGTGGCGCCAGCATCCCACATGGGCGCCGGTTCTTGTCCCGGCTGCCCCTCTTCCAATCCTACTCTCTGCTATGGCATGGGAAAGCAGTAGAGGATGGGCCCTGCACCCACATGGGAGACCTGGAAGAAGCATCTGGCTCCTGGCTTTGGATCGGCATAGTTCTGGCTGTTGCGGCCATCTGGAGAGTGAACCAATGGAAGGAAGACCTTTCTCTCTGTCTCTCCCTCTCACTGTCTGTAACTCTACCTCTCAAATAAATAAATAAAATCTTAAAAAAATACTATTTGTGTCAAATTCGTGGAGTACTCAATCAATAGTGAAGGAACATTTACTAAATACCACTGACAGACATTGTACTCAGTGTATCTCAAGCTAAGTTTAGTTTCATTCCAAGAATGTATATTGTTTATCATTACTTACTCACTGCTTAAGAAGACATATTTTAATGTCCATTAATAATAGCCTAAATGGTTAAATGTAATCAAGTTAGTCATTAATAAAACTCATATAGCATACTCATGTAGATTACATTTTAATAGCAAGAATAAAGAATCTGTGAAAAATTAGACATTGACATAAAATGTAATATTATTGAATATTTTTGATGTTTGAATGTTTTAATATTTTAAATTTTCATTAGAAAATAAAACCTAATTCAGTCATTTCTTAAAGAAGATGATCACCATTTTAAATGAAAAAGAAATAGCAAATTGGTGAAAAGTAGATCAGAGAATGAGAATGGGGATTAAGAAGAGATGGTGAAAGGTTGGCTAGTGAGTACTGAGTCACAGTTAGAGAAGAGTAAGAATTTCCCAGGGAATCAACTGCACAGTAGGGTGACTATAGATGATTACAATGACTGCACATTTCTCTTAATAAAAAAAAAAAAAACAGAATAAAGGATTTTCAGTGTTTTCCCCATGATGTTAAATGTTTGAGGAGAGTGATATGCTTACCTCATTGGACATTATGCAGTATATAGATGTATAGAAACATAATGCAATACCCTATAAATATATATGTCCAATTTTTGTATATTTACTTGAAAGTCAGAGTTACAGAAAGAAGAAGATGCAGAGAAAGAGGTCTTCCATCCACTGGTTCACTCCCCAGTTGCCGCAACAACTGGAGCCGCATTGATCCAAAGCCAGGAGTCAGGAGCTTCTTCCAGGTCTCCCATGAGGGTGCAGGGGCCCAAGGGCTTGGGCCATCTTCTACTGCTTTCCCAGGCCGTAGCAGAGAGCTGGATCGGAAGTGGAGCAGCCAAGTCTCAAACCGGTGCCCATATGGGATGCCAGCACTGCAGGCGGTGGCTTTACCTGCTATGCCACAGCGCCAGCCCTCTATGTTCAATTTTTATGTATCAGTTAAAAACAAATTTTGAATTGAAAAATAAAGAGCAATTGTTGAACTGTTGAAAAATACAATCAAATTATTTACAAGCATTTTTCTCCATCTCTTTCCCTCTTGTTTTGTGTAAATAAGGGTGATAAACTTGAAATATTTGCCTCTGGTCACTGCAATAGTGATTAAACAGGAGCCCCAAGGAAAACCATATAACAATATTCATGGTTCTTGGACATGACTGCGTGTATAGGCTGATAAATAAACAATTTAATCATTGCTTCTGTGAATTATTAAGACAGATGTGAATTATTAAGATGCTAGTTAGCTTGACTGACTTCTGCTGGGTGTGCACTTATACAGACACCATTTAACAATCGAGAAAAATAGGCCCATGTTGTGGTTCATCAGGTCAGATGCCAGCATCAGAATGCTGAATCCAGCCCCAGCTTCTCAGCTACAGATTCAGCTTCCTGCTAATGAGCCTAGGAAGGCAGCAGAATATGGCCCAAGTGCTTGGAACCCTGCTACCCATGTGGGAGACCAGGATGGAGTTCCTGGCTCCTAGCTCCAACCTAACCCAGACCTGGTGTTGTGGCCATTTGAAGAGTAAACCACAAAAGGGAAGAGATCTCTATTTTTCTCTCTGTCTCTCCTTCTCTTTCTGACACTCTGTGTTTCAAATAAATAAATAAGCAAATGTTTTTTTAAAAAAATTAGGAAAACAGAGAATACCTCTGACAAAAAATTCAATTTTACAAATGATGCCAACCAGGGACATTGAAGTTGTCATTGATTTGTGTGGCTCAAGGTAACCAGGTAATTATATTAGCACAGAACCAGACTTCCAAACATTAGGTTCTTTTCAATTTTATTTTGAGTCTTTATTTTAGTCATATTTTAGGCAGATAAAAAAGCAATATTCTTTTCTTTCAGTAAGTTACATAAGTGTCTACATTGCTGCAATGTCTAAACACATTTCAGTTTCTGTTTATTTATTTAGAATTGCTTAGGTAAAGGAAATAACAAAATAATAAATGTAAATGTGACCATATTAAAATTTAGAGTTTCCTTTTTGTTACAACAAAGAAATAATGTATATTGGAAGGGAAGGATACCCATAATGGATAGAGATTAAACAGAACAAAGCTTGATATGCATGCTGTAATTGCATCCTATACAATTAAAAATGAGCATAAAGGGACAGGCATTTGGTGCAGTGGTTAACTCCCCCTTGAGGATGCCAATGTCTCATGTCGAGTGCCTGGGTTCATTCAAGTCATGGCTCTACTCCAGATTCCAGCTTCTTGATAATGTATACCCTGGGAGGCAGCAGGTGATAGTGCAAGTGCTTGATCCATGCCACCCATGTGGGAAACCTGGGTTGAGTTCTAGGCTCCTGGCTTTGGCCTAGCCCAGCCCTGGCTATTGCAGACATTTGGGGAGTGAACCAGATAATGGGACATCTCAGACAGTCTCTATGTGTAAGAAACATTCTGTGTCTCTATCTCTGCCTTTCAAATAAAGTAAGTAAACAAATAAATAAATAAATAATTTATACGCAATAGGAGGAGAGATATATTACACTGGTGAAATGGGCACATCAGGGAGTATGGCAGAAAAGGGAAAAAGGGGGTTTAAACTTTTTACCTTATGCACTTTAGTTTCACTCAAATACATTATAACAAGCCTTTTGTTTTATAACTATATAAAGTTTATCATTTAAGTATTGAAACAGTGGATTTAGAAAAGTTGATTATTTGCACATTTTTATGTCTTCTTTAGCTTTGAATGTTTTATCAGCAGCTTTTTTTCCCTATCAAAAATCAATGGAGTTATAGCTACTGAATTGTGAGAGACAATTCTGTTTCATAAAAAAGTAAATCAAGTCAGTTAGTTAAGATATCAGAAAGACATTTTCCAATGAACAGGTGATCTAAAATATATACTAAGCATATATTTCTGAACAATACACACCACAAATATGAGCTTCATTCAATAGAAGTCACTGTGTAACAGACCAGTTATGAATATGTGAGGCATTGTAACACTGAATTAATACTGCAATAATAAAGAATATCCCTACAGAAAAGAACATAGATGCTGTAGTTCTTGAAATAAAAGCTAAACAGCAAAAATAATTTATGTATGAAAGACCACAACAAAATTTCCACAGTGTTCTCCCACAGTGGGAAAGCACAATCACAAAAATGTCCTCGTCTTTCCTGTAGGAAGTGTAGAGTGCTGATGTACCACTGGGACGCCCCTTCAGGATGACACGTTTCCTCAGCTGCCAAGGGCATGGCTGTGCTACCCAATCAGCAGCCTCAGTCCTCATCGCTCTTCAGGACTGGTCTCATTTGAAATCTGATACCTGTCCTAAGGTCATGCTCCTTGCAGGGACAGCCAGCTTACAGACAGGTCATCTCATCACCTCAGGGCCCCTCACCTATAGAATCTCTATAGAGATTCTCTATAGAGAATGCTCTATAGAATCAATTGTCTAAGTTCCAGAATTGTGGAGGACTCTGTTCAGATTGCCTGACAACCTTCCTTTTCTCTCTGCCCAAGTCCCTCTTCTTTTCTTCCCTCACACATGTATGATTCCAAGAGGACCTCCCCACCCCCAAATCTGGCTACACTTCAAGTCTCCATCCCAAAGGATACCATGGTAGGTTCTGGAAAAAAATATTTGACAAGAAATAAATTAGATAAGAGTTATTTTTAAAAAATTCATGTTTGAAAAAAAAACAAACAACCCTAAATTAAATGAAAAAACAATAGTAAAGTATCATAGGAATTTCATAAGGAGATCAAGAAATATCAATATAGTAAGACCTATCATTCTCAAATCATAAATCAAAAATTTGAAAATAGAGTGGAATAACAGTGAATAACAACAATGACAAAATGTAAATAGCATGGAAACAAATATAAAAAGGAAATGTTGTGATATATGTGAAATAAATTTTAAAGATTTGTAAAAAGAGATCAATAGGGAGGAAGATCCTGCCCTACCATTTTTCAAAATGTCATATAAAACTGTTGGATGAGGAATGAAGAGGCTATGAAATACATGAATCTAAAAACAAGCTCATGAATTGATGAAGATTTAGTTTGTGATAAAAGTAGCTTTTATGTAAGTAGGGAAAAATTAACTTGTCAAGAATACTATTGCAGTGAGATGAATCAAGTTAGACACGTAAATTACATCATGGGTTAAAATACGGTTAAGTTCTAACTTTCCGCTTGAGCTTTTGATTCACAACCTCTTGGCATCTGTGTAAGAACATTCTATTCATTCTTATCATCTTGTTCTTTATCTTCTGCCTCTCCCTCTTCTTTAAAGAATATTTACTTATTTCTTTTAGAGAGAGATAATTGAAGAGAGAGTTCCCAACCACTTACTCTCTAAATATCATCTTTTTCTGTATATTCTGCCTCTCCTTTTTTTTTAAATATTTATTTATTGGAGATAGATATGGGGAGAGTCAGATAGAGACCTCCCATCCAATGGATCACTCTCCAAATGCCCACAATAGCCAGGGACTGGGAAAAGGCCAAAGCCAAGGGCTTGGAATTCAAGGTAGGTCCTCCACATGGATGGCAGGGACCCAATCACTTGAGCATCACCACTGCCTGCCAGGGGTTCCAACAGTAGGAAACTGGAGTCAGGAATTGAACCCAGGCACTCTGATCTGAGATATGAGCATCTTAACCAGCACCTTAACCACTAAGCTAAATGCTTGACTCTGCCTCTCTCTCTCTCTCTCTCTCTCTCTCTCTCTCTCTCTCAGTTCCATCAACATTTAAGCATGCTTAGGACTTTCCTATTTTAAATAGCCAATTGATAATAAGTAAAAACTCTCTCGAGAAGGTAGAAATCCTCTCAAACCCACTAGCTTCTTGGAGCTATTACTACATCCTCTCTTCCTCTTGATAGAAAGAGGTGCTCTGTCTTGGCCTCTTCTCTCCAATTACTTTTGCATTTTTGTCTTAGCTTGTGTCCCCAGGAAAATTCTGGGACAGAAAATGTGATGCAGAACGGCTTTGGGACATGATCTAGGAGATACACGGGCAAAATTGAGGAAGGCAGAGAGACAAAGAGATCAGCAGAGTGGTCCCTACTAAGGCCTCAAGTAGTCGTGTGGGGAAGCACAACAATTTTTTCCAATTGACACAAAGGGACTGGTCTTAATTATCTCTTCATCAGTGGTCCCTGGTCTGGGCTGCCTTGAGCATGACAGTCCTCCTTCTACATCTGAAGGGTCCTGCCTATGGCCAATGGCAATTCCTGGAGAAGGAAGGAGGTGGCTGACTCTACAGGCAGGATCTGGGTGGAGCAATAAAGTATATACTACATCTACACGTAGAGGTTCACAACCCTTTGCTTCCTAATTAATGTCTCTCCATCAGAGCAAAGCTTTCCCAAGGTTCTGATTCATCTTGTTTCCTGGTAAATTATGAAAAATTTGTTAGTGGGTTGAACTACAGCCCCTATTGTTGCAGATGATCTCATAACTATAGTTCATATACACCATCTTCCTTCTCTGTCACCCATCCTACAGTTCCCTCTCTCTCAGCTAACATCTCTGCTAGTGTAGGCAGCTGTGGGGTTGGGTGACTTCCACCACAATTTCTGAGTGGTTTGAGCCCTTGGTTACTGTGCTGTTCCCAAGTCATGGTGACTGTACTTTCCTATATACTATTTAAACTGTGCATGGCAGCAGCACTAATAGATAACCCAGTGGACTGCCTGAGGATCAAACATATTCTATTCCCCTCTCATTAGCTAGCAACTTTCCCACCTCCTCTGACAGCTGGATCAATTCCTTGTGCCAATCTGGTGAATCGTTTCCTTTCCTTTCCTATTGGTCTCTTTTTCTAATGATCCTACAAGATGGTTTGGTAGTAGTCTAAAATTCAATGATGGCCAGTGCCGTGGCTCACTAGGCTAATTCTCCGCCTGTGGCGCCAGCACCCTGGGTTCTTGTCCCATTTGGGGCACTGGATTCTGTCCCGGTTGCTCCTCTTCCAGTCCAGCTCTCTGCTGTGACCTGGGAAGGCAGTGGAGGATGGCCCAAGTGCTGGGGCCCTGCACCCACATGGGAGACCAGGAGGAATCACCTGGCTCTTGGCTTCGGATCAGCGCAGCACGCCGGCTGTAGAGGCCATTTAGGGAGTGAACCAACAGGAGAAAGACCTTTCTCTCTGGCTCTCTCTTTTCTCACTGTCTAACTCTGCCTGTGGAAAAAAAATAAATAAATAAAATAAAATTCAATGACACCATTACTGGGAACTGGACTCTCTAGACCTTCAGAAAAAAAAATATGGGCAGAAAAAATATTTTAATTGAATCATTAGGAATAATGCTATTCGAAGTCACTCCTACTTTATAATCTTTGGATTCCCAAAGACTAGAGATGCTGATCTAGGCTGATGATTCCCCATAAGCTGATGTCCACTCCACCTGTTCTCCTTTAAAATCTGTGACTTCAGCTATGCTTTTAAGAGACCAATCTCTCTTCATCAGGTTGATTGTCTTTGAGTTATGTGGAAATTGATAAGGGCTGTGTGTGCCTTGGTCTCGCATAGGGTCAGAACTAGTATGAAGCAAGAAAGGCACTGAGGGTGCAACATTTAAGGATGCATTCCGCCTCATGGCTATGCACCTGCTCTGGGCCACTTCTTTTTCCATAAAAAATGACTAACCAGGGCCACCACCAGGAGTTCTGCCCATTGGGAGGATCTCCTCTTGGCAATAGCTTTTTAGACCACCTCTGAGTTACATTATAGTGCTGAAACATCCATTTTTAAATTGAACCCCACAGACCCTTCCATTAATCCTGTTTATTCTTTTCCTGTATCTGTAACTGCCTGAAAGGGCTTTGCCGAAGCAGTAGGAATGAATTGAGGGGAAAATGCTGTACAACACTGGCAGATGACTGGGCTCCTGGCCATGTACTCATGTGGTTCACTTGTTCTTTCTGGCCCTGTCATGCTCAATTCCAGATGTAACAATTCCATCGTGTAAGATCGCTGCAGGGCCTTTCTCAGTGTGTGATTTGGTGATGTTGACAGAATGAAGCTCACAAGAAAAACTCTGGCTGTGCAGACACTGGATGGCCCTGGACCAGATTCTAGATTCTGTCAGCTGTTGGGACTGCTATACAATCCACAGTGTATTTTCTCTTCACAGATAGGCCTAGTGCTAGAGTTCCTAGCGAACAGTCTGGGTGACACGGTTGCTTACACTGTATCCTGGACTTGCTCTTTCCTACAAAGCCCTTTTCAGTTCTTGTCTCCATTCAAAGATGGCAACTTTCCATGCTGCCTGGTAAAAGGATTCAAGCAGTATTTCTAATGGCAAAGCTGTAAAATACTGACCCAGTGTGGTGATTCTTTTTAAGTTCTGGAAGATATAGGATGTAATAAATTGTCCCTTATTTTAGAGAATGTCCTAACACATCTAAAATTACTGAATCCTTAAAATCTTGACTTTTCTGTCAGTTTGCTAAGACATTGTAGGGTTTATCTCCCATCCTATGGAATGCATGTGTTCACTCAGTTTCTGACATCCTGTTTACTGCTAATCCCATCAGATTAAAATAATGTCCTTGGGGCCTGCATTGTGGCATAGCAAGTTAAGCCACTAACTGTGATGCTGGCATCCCATAAGGGGCCCAGTTCAAGTCCTGGCTTGATCCACTTCTGATCCAGTTCTCTGCTAATGGGCTTGGGAAAAGCAGCAGAAGATAGTCCACTTCTTGGGGCCCTGCCATCCACAAGGGAGACCTGGATGAAGCTCCTGGCTCCTACTATCAGCCTGGCCCAGTCTCAGCCATTGCAACTATTTGTGGAGTGAGCAAGAGGATGGAAGATCTCTCTCCTTCTGTCTCTCTGTAACTCTACCTTTCAAACAAATCTTTAAAGATTAAAATAAAATAATTTCCTTGTGGAATGTCCAAGTTTCTTTAGAGCATGGTAGATTGCAGATGAGTTAATGGTGCTCTGGGGTAGGACCATAAATGCATACTGTTGTCCACCTCACATGAACTTCTCCCGATTTCTGCTTCTCATAGAAATGGGAAAGAGTCTTTTCCGGGTTGCTAGTTGCATCTTATTTGCCAGAGATAGGCTATACACCAATCCATTAGCTGCAATGAGACCACTTCTTGGTCTAGTGGCCCTAGCAGCCACAGTGATCCATGTGATTTTTGCAAATTAGATGGGACTGTTATGCAGCAACCTTTGCCTTCTTTAAATCTTTGCTGTAAATTCTTGCCTTTGCATACCCCTTAGATGTTGGTTTTCCTTATGATTCCATCCTAGAATTCCCCTCATTATCAGCAAAATTCACAGTTGCATAGGGTCAATTACAATCTGTACTGAATAGGAATCTCATGTTTACCTTCAATAAAATATGTAGGGTATAAATATTTAGGCAGACTCCTCTCTGAACATTAGGAAATGTGAAAGGCACATCTAAGGTTAACATATCAAAAACGGAATCTTCTTGGAGACAGGCTCCTGTTCCCAGGTTCTTAGCGAATGATATTACCTTCCAACAATCCCTTTAACCAGATATCTGTGACTTGGCTCATTCTCTTTCACACAATAAATATTCTATGTCAGCAAGTGCAATTGATTCTACCTCAAGTCCATCCTTGA